AAAAGTTCGGTTGACGTTTCGTGAGATGGGGAATCAACTCTAATAGATAGTTAGCCTGCAAATACAAGAGAGACTAGAATGGCAATTTCTGGCTTATTAGCCGTCGTCAGTCAGTCATACCCAAACCCAAGTGCTGTCCCACCCGAACCTTGAACTCGCGATCTTTTTGACCAGACTCAAACGCCCTAACCCTTGATCCACGAGCTCGTTGTCTCGCCAGTTTAGATCAGGAGATATTGACACTCGTTGATAAACGTTCACCTGACCGCTAACGGAGCTCATCTGTCCCACTCTGTCTTGGGCCTCAACAGGGTCTCTGATGCATACAAAGCAGACAGATTGCGGGCAGGCAGAACGAGGAGTGGGCTGTAAATCGCGAACTTTTGGCTGAATATGCTTAAATTCTACTACAGACACCTTGAGAAGAGGAGAATAAGATGTACCAGCACGAAGATCTTTCGGGTCAAGCATTAGCTTATTCTGAGCCTTCGAGTGGCGTGTTTATCGTTTATAGCAGAAGAGAAGACGCCGAAGAACAGGGAGTTTAAAGACAGAAAACAGTGAAATACTGTTTTCCAAACGCAAGTAAACGCAATGTGTAAAACAATATAGGTCTAAAGCTGCACAGGACTGACGCAATCGTTGATCGAAGGCATACTTTGAAATGGGATAGGGAAATAGACTAGCTGAGCTTGTTTTACTCTGCACCTTCAGTGACGAGGGTTCAGGATCGAAGTGGGATGCAGTGACTAAATATAACCATCGCACAACAATGCCGGAAAGCGAAAGTGCCCCATGTTTGTTTTCCGTAAAAAAACGTCCAAGTCAAACACTGTTTCCCTGATGGGGGACTCATATCCAACAACAAAGGTAAGGAAAAGCAAAGTGCAACACGCTCCGAAAACAACTAAACGCTAACACTGTCAAAAACCGGTCAATGAGAAGGGAAAGGGCGCAGGGTACACACACAACAGTAATAACTAAGCACGGAGTTCGCAAAAGAGTCGTTGTGCAAATACACCAAGAGTTGCTGGCCGCGGATGCAAAAAACGCTATGTGTCTGTCACTTCCTCACTCACCGCCGCCGCCGCCTCCTCTTCTTCTTCAACGTTGCCAAAGGAGCTGCTAAGTGAAATAGTCTGACGGAGGGCGTTGTCGAGTAGCTCTTGAGTGGAAGGTAGGTCCGTGGACTCGAGCGGGGATTCTGGTGGGATAGACATATGCAGACATTCAGCATCCAGTTGTCTGGTACCTTCGTCTGGCGGCTCTGACTGCTCACCCAGAGG